GAACCCGGGTCCTTTGGAAGAGCAGCCAGTGCTCTTAACCACTGAGCCATCTCCCCAGCCCCCTGATGGCATTCTTAGTTTTGGAGTTGGTGGAAGGCAGTATACTGCTATATTAATATATATTTTAAAGTTTTTATTGATTAGTCACAGGATGTTAGTTCCGACACAGAGGGGCAGGGATGACTGTTATGGAGGCTAAAGCTAGCTCACGGTCAGCTGATTGGTCCTGGACCTGCAACGTTCCAATCACTTTATATTACTAAAGTTCTATTCAGTGGATCAGTCTCTCCAGACACCGCTTCTTATCAGGAATTCTTGTTCACATGTCTATGGATAACTTTAGGAAATAAAGTTGAACTACTTGGGGTGAAGTTTTGGAGCCCAGTGGAGTTTATATTTAATGGCAGTCCATGGGAGGAGGAAGAGAATGACGGACTCTAGCAAGTATAGACAGAGATGGTGGCCATTGTGGGGAGAGGAGGAGACATTTCTTCCGAGTATGGTCAGAAAAGACAGGAGTGGATTAAAGAGGAGGAGACAGGGAGGGAACCTAGGCCTGGAGCTTGTGTAGGACATGAGAGAGAGCCCTGGCAAGCACATGTCACGCTGACTCTCTGAGGTCCAAAGGTGTGATCGTTTACTCCAGAACAGCTTTGGAAGCCTTGAAAGCAGGCCTTCTCTAAGACAGAAATTCTCTGAGATGAAGGGAAAGAAAAGGAAGTGAAGAAGGAGCCAAGGGCAAAGGTCACAAGGGAAGGTACAGTGTGATCTGGGGAAGAGTCCAGGAAAGATGGCCGTGCTCCAGGGAAGGGAGGGGAAAGGTGGGCTGGAGGCTGCGCCTCAGCTTTTGATCTCCGTGGTGCTGTGACTGCTGTGGTGGGCCTGTGCACCCTCTGAGGTTCAGTTCCCTGCCTGTGTTGGTGAAGCTCAGCCTGGACCTTTTGTTAACAGAGCCCTGCAGATGCCCTTAGATTTGATGTCCTCAAATTGACTTTAGGAGAGCACTTTGGGATAGGAGGTGGGTCAGGGTGGGAAATGTTCTTCTGGCCATTCTATCGGGCCCTACGAGGACAGGTCTAGACAAAGCGCTTTAGCACAGGGGTGAGGCAGAAGGGGCTCCGAGCAGAGGGGTGAGATACTTCTGCCTCCAGCTCCTCTGCTGCTCTATCTCAGGTCCACTCTAAGCCCATCTAGCAAGCCAAGCCGGAGAGCAACCAAAGCAGGATGTTTCACAATTGTAAGCATGGCCACTTCTTACCCTTAAAACTCTGGTGTGCCAATTTCCTTTTGCTTAGAAATCCTTTAAGCTCTACAGCAGGTCTTAGATTCTGTAATTGCAGAAGATGTCTTCGAGCCTAAATATTTGGCAGGGTTAATGCACAGCAGAGGGAATCTGCCTGAGCATGGTTTGTTTGGTTGGTTTTGTTGGAGTGACGCAAGAGACTTAGAAAGCAAGGTAGCCACAGATATTAGTTTGTAAATGAGCCTCTATCTAACATGAGGCTCAGGACTCACTGGGCTAGAGTGAGTTGTCAGTGAGACAGGGCAGAAGTGGGCCATTCGAGGTGACCAGAACAGGCCATCCGTCACTTCCACTGTCTCTGTGCATGAGCATAGACACAGTTTGGAATCCTTGGGTTTATAATGTAATTTGGTTTTTTAATGCTTGTATTATATTATTTAGTATTTGTTTGTGTGTCTGTGCACATGCCCACATATGCACAGTGTATAGTGGAGGTCAGAGAATGTCCTAAGGGGGTGGTGTGTTCTCTCTACCATGTGGGTCCCAGGGATTGAACTCCGGTCATCAGGCTTGGCGGCAAATGTCTTTATCTGCTGAGCCATCTTTCTGGCCCAGTTTAGCTTTGGATATACTCATTTCTAATTATTTCAAAACTTTCAACTGAATTCTTAAAGAAAGATCTCTCTTGGGATTATGTGTTCCACACCCTCAAAGGAGACATGTCAGGGAGATGCACGGCCCATTGTGCTGCACGTGTTACCATCTTGTCCCTCTGGAGTGACAGCAGCAACGAGAGTTTGCACAGAGTGGTGGCAGGGGAGTAAGGCAAGTTTCCAATAATCTCTCAGTAGCCGTTGGCTGAGAGTTCTGCTGCAGGCAGGACACTGGGTAGGCAGAGAGAAGTAGGGGTCCACCCCGATCCATTTCTCTTCCATCCAGATCCATCTCCATCCAGATCCATCTCTGTTCTACCCCGATCCGTCACTGTTCTACCCCAATCCATCTCTGTTCCACCCAGCTCCATCTCTGTTCCACCCAGCTCCATCTCTGTTCCACCCAGATCCATCTCTGTTCCACCCAGCTCCATCTCTGTTCCACCCAGCTCCATCTCTGTTCCACCCAGCTCCATCTCTGTTCCACCCAGATCCATCTCTGTTCCACCCAGCTCCATCTCTGTTCCACCCAGCTCCATCTCTGTTCCACCCAGCTCCATCTCTGTTCCACCCAGATCCATCTCTGTTCCACCCAGATCCATCTCTGTTCCACCTGATCCATCTCTGTTCTACCCAGACCCATCTTGGTCTCCATCCGGATGAACGCAGAAGACAGAGACTGTCTTCACATTTGAACATGCTGCATAGGCCAAGGCTTAGCTCAACTCCTGTGTCTCAGCAGGCTAGATGGAGCATGATCTTGGAAAATTAATTTAGTGAGTCATAATTTTCTCTCCCTAGAAGTGACAAAAGTATCACTTGCCACCCGTTAAACTGTAGATCATGTGAAACACTTAGAAGTTTCTGTTGCAAAGTTAGAATCATTCAATTTTTGAATAATGCAAACCTGACTGCTTCATTACTTTGGTAAGAAATGTAGAAGTAGAATAATTTTTTTTAAAAAGGAAATCAAAGAAGATCATACAGAAGCGTTTCTTCCTGTTCTGTCTTTAGAGACCCGTACTTAGTTCCTCGAGGAGGAATTGAGGAAAGGAAGTGGAGTAATAGAATGTGGAACGTGATTGGGGAGGAGAATAGGGGCTATTAAGAGAGCCACAGAGAAAGGATGGTGCCACGGGAGGTGGGCACCCCCAGCAGCGTCAGGGGATTCAGGGTGTTGAGAATGGAGGCATGGTGCATGCTTTTAGTTCCAGCACTCAGGAGGCAGAGGCAGGGGGATCTCTATGAGTTTGAGGTCAGTCTGGTCTATAGAGATAGAGTTGCAGGACAGCCAGGGCTACCTAGAGAAACTCTATCTCAAACAAAACAACAACAACAACAACAACAAAAACGGAGGCAATGTCCTCCCTGTTAAGTGCCAGAGTGTGGAGCTGAGGGGAGGGGACTTGAGAAAGGGCCAGTGGATTTGGGAAGCAGTTTTATCGGTGACCTATGATGGTAGCGGGTGTTATTTGATAATAAATACCTTGTCTATATTCATCTCCTGTAAGCTTCATCCCGTGGTGTGGTACCCATGACTGTTCTCAGCACACGGATGTCTGCAGTGCCTTGAGAAGGGATTAAAGGGTTAAATTCAGCCTGCCAACTAGTGAGACACAAAGGAGCCAGGCTTGGTCTGACCCCAGAGTCCTCTTCTTAGCCCGTCCTCTGGGGGCTTCATTCTGCCTATGGAGGTGAGGCGGGATGGTGGGCCTTTTCAGGGGTGCTTGTGAGGAGGCAGAGTCAGCAAAAGCAGCCATTTGCCAAATGTTTGACTATAAAGGAAGGAAAACTGGTAAGATCCCCCCACCCGCCACGATGTCCCCCAAAGCACAAGCCTTTTATTGGAATAGTGGGGAGGGGTCAAGTGACTGCTCAGTGGACCTGCCCTGGGCCCTTCTAGGTATTTGACCTTTGGTAGAGAGGGTAAACCCTACAGTGAGTTTTGTTGTTGTTTTGTTTTGTTAAGCTGAACTGAACATCAAGGTGACTCAGCCTTTAAAGCCATAATAATCATGGGAGTTTGCCAAAGGGCCACAGGGGACTGTATGGAGTTTGATCTTGACCCCCCAGTGTGATCAACTGATAAGAGTGCCTCATATGCCTTAGAACGACAAGTACTCCTGCCTTTACCACTCCCACAATCCTCCTCCGCCTGCAGCCCTGTCTTCCCTCTCCTTCTCCAGCCTCTTCCTCCATTTTGGATTCCTCGGGAGTTGTCTTCTGTGGCTTTTGTTGGGCCTTTTGCTGTCACTGAAACACATGTAGTCTTACGGGAAGGAAGTGTGCTCATGCAAGTTCCCAGAGTCGCGTGTGCCTCAGGACTAGCTTTCCTTGATGGGTTGGTGCTCTCAGGGAGTGGACGGTTCAAGTGTTCTTGAAGGAAGAAGAGATGCAGAGTCCAAACAAGGAATGGATGGATTCCCCTTTTGTCAGTGCCATTGTGTAGCTAGCTGTTGGGCTGGGTGGACTTTTAGGCATAAGAAGGACATTTATGTGACGCTGTGGAGGTGGGGTTGCCTGTCTGGTGATGGGCCAGTGAGAGGAGGCTTCAGCTGAGGTTGGGGTCTGTGTTATCATCAGACCACCAGTGCAGTGTGCTTAAGTGGCGGTACCCCACCACAGAGTGTACCAGAATGCTCACCACCTGCCTCGGGGCTCCCGTCCCTGGCTAGTCATGGAGGCAGAGTTAGTCCTAGGAAGTGATTGCAAAAGCAGGGACATGGCTTCTTTCCTCTGAGAGAATCCAGGAGTTGGTCCCTGTGCATCCCCCCTCAGAGGAGGACGTCTCGGGACCCACGCAGCACGGGACTTACATCGTGCTGCAGCTCTCTTCCACCACCGAGCTATCCTCTGCAGCTGCAGGTATTTCCTGAAGGCAAGCCAGATGTGCTGAGAACATTTCCTTGAAGGAAAAAAATCGAAGAAACCGAATAGCTGGCTTCTTGAATGTCAGGCTAATTTAGAGAGGCAGGGGACGCATTTGGGACATGACGCGAATGACTAACCCCAGGATTCAACCGATTAGACAGGGGGAGAATTGAAGCTAAGAAAAGGGAGGGAAAGGAAGTGTTCTCAATTCTGTTTTCTTTTCTTCTTCCTAGCAAGAACCAGTTGAGTCATCTTTGGGGCTTAGTAATGGAGTAAGTGACCTTTCTCCTGAGTATGCGGTCCTGACCTCAGCTATAAAAAATGAAGTGGATAGTACGGTGAACATCATAGGTAAACCGTTTTGACATCTTATTTTTATACTCACGAGCAGCCTCCAAGGTCTAAACTTTGCAAAACAGTCATCTCAAAACAAACACAGTCAGTAAGGGGAAGTCTTGGAACCCGTCCAAACACAAGTTCTAGTCCCCAGATTTCAGGGCTTCGCAGATGAAATAAAGGTTCGTAGACGAGTCAGAACCAAGAAAAGAAGGCCAGGCTTTCGAAATGCTTCCTCCCTGGGGGCTAATGGTTAGCAGCTCTTCATCACTCATTGTTCAGTCCCATGGACAAAAATGTCATTCATTTAACTTGGGAACCGAGGAAAGGGAAAGCCATCCCTGTGAGCCCTCCCAGCTTCTGCCTTGTGTCCACCTGCCCAGAGGCAGCACTCATTTTTACAGGCCAAGAAACTGAGGCACAGAAACTTCCTGTCAAAGGACGGACTGGTGCTACAGATTCGCTGAGAGTTCTCTACCATCCATACACAGTTCTGTGAACAGAGAGTAAATAGGGAACAAGCTCAGCTCTATTCCCATTTTTGTGGGGACACAGTAAACAGACAAAGACACGCACGAGTAAGCATAGCACTCCCATTTGTGGCCTGTGATACAAAGGAAGAAAACAGAGGTAATTGGGAACAGCCTAGAAACCAGACTTACATGGTTGTCGTGGTGAGTGTCCTCAGAAGAGTGACATTGCCCTATAGTGGGTGTGTGAGGAGCAGCAGGTGACACACGGAGGTAGACATGATGTTGACAGAAACCCTGAGTAGAAAACATCTGAGGGAACAGAAGGCAGGCCAGAGTTGCACAGTATAGGAAGCATGGTGACTTCTCATGAGGTCCCCTCAGAGGTGGTGTGGTGGCTATTCTTGGCTGTCAGCTTGACTATGTCTGTAATTAGCCCAAATCCAAGCAGCTGGGTACTTGTTTTCCCTTAATTAAATCATTTGAAGTGGGAAAACCCACCGTAATCCAGATCTTTTGAGGTGGGACCATCTACCTTTGATCTGGGCCACACCTTCTGCTGGCAACCTATAGAAGGGGCATGGAAGAAGGAAGATTTTTGATTTTTGCCTGCCCTAATTCTCACTGGCAAGTCCATTCCTTCACTGGTATTAGTGCCTGCTTCTTCGGGAGTCTGGCATATACTAAAGACCAGCTGAGACATTCAGCCTCATGGACTGAACAGCTACCGGGTTCTTGGACTTTCCATTGGTAGACGGCCATTGTTGGACTAGCTGGACCGCAGCCTGCAGGCCACAAATCCCACATATATTCATTCTATTGGTTCTATTGCTCTAGAGAACCCTGACTAAGACAGATTTTGATGCCACGAGTGGTTCTAGAGCAACAAAAGTATAAAGATGATTTTTTTTTTAGTATCTGGTGTAGGCTTTCCAATTTGCCAACACTTCCAGTTACTGAAGCCTCTCCTAGGAGCTTAGAGAATAGTAAAGACCCATGGTGCAAACTAGTTTACAAACTTCAGGAGATACATGCATTTAATTATCCTGATTCACCAACTGTGAGAAGCAACAGATTTGGTGACTCTGTATATAAAACTTTTGACAATTTGCGGAGAAATAAGGAAAACGATGATGCTGGTCGATTGCTCCTAGTACCTTTGGATGAATTGACAAAGGAAAAGAATGAGCTCCGTGATCAAATTAGCCAACTTCTAGCATCTCGGGATACTATGTAGAACAACAAAGAACTTGTTGATAAAACTGACCAGCCCCGAATGCACATATACATCCTAGAGGTTTCCAAGTGTTCCCTGGAAGAAAATCTTCACTATAGCAGCCACAAAGCTTGTGGAAAATCAAACCAAAGCCCTCATTATAAGGTTGGCTGAATAACAGTGAAAATTCAAGGTGCAGCCTTAGAGGGCATCGAGTTGGAGAGTGTAGATGGTTAAAAGAAGGGCATTAATTGGTGAAGAATGGGATCGTTTAACTTGGGGTGGAGATTTGTGGGAGGACCCAATTGAAGCTGGGATCTTTGAACCCTTAGATTCTCAAGGGTTTATCTTATGTTAGGAAGGAGTTTCTCCACCCTCAGCAGAAAATGTACTCACATGCCCAGCCCCTGAATATTGCCTTTTTCATCATTGACTGGGAAATTAATCTTTCATTATCTGCTAAATCATCAGTGGCCCTCTCTGAAGGAGATGATGGGCAAGACAATACTGAGGTCCCTCAGGGCCCACCAACGGTTGTTTCTAGACCTATACCCAGACTTGAGGCTCAGCAGACTCCTACAGGAGGAATAGGAACTGTAGACCCCAAGGAGGTGCACCACATACACTACTAAAGAGCTTAATGAGTTTGCTAATTCATCTGGGGAATACGTGTGGGAACGGATTTTAAGGGTGTGGGATAGTGATAGAAGGAACGTAAAACTGAGTCAGGCTGAGTTTACTGATAGGAACCCACAGAGTGGAGATTTCATTTATAGTGTGGAAGCTTGCTCAGTTAAAAATGGTGCCGAAAGTCTGAATGGTTGGCTGAAGCATTTCTCAGAAGATGACTGACTGAAAAAAAGTTGGAGATGCTTGCTATCCCTTGGCTTAGTGTTGATGATGGATTTTAAGGATCAGGGAAAGCAGTGCTAGAGTGACCATGCTGTGTAAAACCTCATCCTCCACAGTGGGAAGACCCAGAAGACATGGCCTTCACTAATCCTGTAAGACAGCAGAATGATGAGGGGCACCCGCACATCTGAAGAGTTGTGTTGTCTTTTCCCTGTGTCAGACCATAGGATTGGAGATGCTGCTGCTCAGCTGGATGAATTAAATGCAGTGGGTTTAATTGGGGCCCGAAGTAGCAAGGGCCGGGTGACACCAAAGGCAAGGTGATCGCAGATATCGTAATGGGCAGCATAGACGAAACTGTGTTCATAATGGCCTGACCCATAATGAGCAACACAGGTAACATGATTTTTACGGTGGCATGACTTATATGGATCTTTGGTACTGGCTAATCATTATGGTGTTTCCAGGCATGAACCAGATTAAAAAGCCTACTGCATTTTTGTTTGATCTATATAAGTGGAAAAAATCTTAAACAAATGAAAGAGAGGTTGCATTGGGTCATGGCGAAAGCGAATCTCGGCTTATGAACCAATTTCCAGACTTGAGCCAATTTGCAGACCCAGAACCCCTTGAATGAAGGGATGGCCAGGTTGTCTTGAGGAAGGACCTTGATGAAATACAGAAGAGTTTACTGTTAGCCTTTCTCCAGTCCTTCCCAGAGGAACCTGTGGCCTTTACCAGGGTAACTACATTGAAAGAAAGGAAACAACCAGACTTTCCAGAGTCTATTGGATACTGGCTCTGAATTGACGTTGATTCCAGGAGACCCTAAGAAATGCTGTGGCCTTAGAGTTAAAGTAGGGCATTATGGAGGTGAGGTGATTTATGGAGTGTTAGACCAAATATTACTCACAGTAGGCACAGGGCCTTCCCCAATTCACCCTATAGTCAGTTTGCTGGTTTCAGAATGTGTAATTGGGATAGATATACTTAGAAGTTGGTGGAATTCTCACATTGGCTCCCTGACTTGTGGAGTGAGGGCTATAATGGTTGGAAAGGGAATGGAAGCCATTGCAGCTGCCTCTGCCGGGGAAAATAATGAGTCAGAGACAACATCACATTCCAGGAGGAACCAAAGAAATCAGTGCCACCATCAAGGGTTTGAAAGATACAGGAGAGGTGGTTCCCACCACATCTCCCTCCAGCTCTCCTATCTGGCCAGTTCAGAAGACACGTGGATCATAGAGAATGACAGCTGACTCCCGGAAACTTTATAAAGTCGTGACTCCACTTGTATCTCCTGTACCAGATGTGATGTCCTTACTTGAGCAGATGAACACGTCTCCTGGTATGTGGAATGCAGCTATTGACCTAGCAAATGCCTCTTTTGCGGTACCTCTCCATATGGACCACCAGAAGCAATTGGCTTTCAGTTGGCAAGGCCGGCAATATACATTTACAATTTTACCACAAGTGTATAAAAATATTAACTCTCCTGCCCTGTGTCATAAACTTCGTTCAAAGAGATCTTGATCAGCCACCTTTTCCAAAAAATATCACATTGGTGATATATGACATGCTGATCGTACCTAGGGAGCAAGAGGTAGCAACCACTTTGTACTTGTTGGTGACATTTGTACATCAGAGGATGAGAACTAAATCCAACCAAAAATTCAAGGGCCTTCTACCGCAGTGAAATTCTTAGGAGTCCAGTGGTGTGGGGCGTGCAGAGATATCCCTTCTTAGGTGAAGGATGAGTTCTTGCACTTGGCCCCTCCCACCACCAAGAAAGAAGCACATTTAGTGGACCTCTTTGGATGCTGGTGACAGCCCACTCCTCACGTGGGTGTGTTACTCTGGCCCGTATACCAAGTGACTTAGAAAGCTGCTGACGTTGAGTGGGGCCTGGAACAGGAGAACACTCTGCAGCAGGTCCAGGCTGCTGTGCAGGCTGCTCTACCACTTGGACCATATGATCCAGCAAGTCTGATGGTACGTGAGATGTCAATGACAGATAAGGGATGCTGTTTGGAGCCTATTGGAGCAGGGCTCTTCCATCATCTGCACACAACTATTCTCCCTCTGAGAGACAGCTCTTGGCCTATGGTTGGGCCAGAGTGGAAACTGAATGTTTGACAATGGACTACAAAGTTACCGTGCAATCTGAATTGCCCATCATGAGCTGGGTGTTATCTGACCCTCCAAATCATAAAGTAGGAAGTGCACAACTGAAATCCACTGTCACATGGAAGTGGTATGTATGTGATCTGGCCCAAGCAGGTCCTGAGGGTACAAGCAAGTTACATTAAGAAGTTGCTCAAATGCCTATGGTTTCTACTCCTTTCACGATGCTGACTGCTCCCAAGCCTGCACCTATATCCTCATGGGATATGCCCTGTGATCCGTTGAGTGAGGAAAGAAGACTGGCCTGGTTTACTCGATGGTTCTGTACTTTATGCAGACATCACTCAGAAGTG